AACTTCTTGCACACTTTTAAATGACTCCACATATTACTTGTGCCATTAACAATAGTATGACATGCATAATGTTTTCCACAATAATTACATTCAGCTCTAGGGGCTTTAAGATCAACATCAAGTTTTGTAAAGTGATCCCAAATTTGTGACTTTTTTCTATCTTCAACATTTCTTTTCCTAGATATAAGGACTTCGGGTTGTTTACCTTTTGTGTATGTGGTGGATCCTGCATTGGTTGATTCTGTGTTAGTTTTTGAAGTTGGAGAAGTGGTTGATGTTGGTGTTGTGCTCGTGGATGAAGCATTTTGAATTTGAATATTTTCCATCTGTTATCACAAAAACATGTTAAAACTTAAAAACCCATAATTTATAATAGACTTAAATGTACTAAAATTCAAAGAAATTATCAAACTAATAGAAACTTAAATACATATACGTAGATTTTAATTTATAAGAAATCAAATGGATAGTTAGTTTTAAGGATATGGATTGCTCTTTTCATTGCATAAAGTTGGCATGCAGCAAAGACTAGAAAAGACTAACTCTTTTTGTGAGCCAAAGTGCTAATGTATATTACTACTATATTTTTTAATTAAAAATATATTAAAATATTTTTTTATATCAGTATATTAAAATTATAAAAAAAATACATAAAAATATATCAATTTAATGACTAGCACAAGAAAAAAATTATGAAATTTAATTTAAAAAATAGATTATAAAGCAAAAACAACACTGGCTAAATACAAAAATGATTTATTAAATACTTAGCCATGTACACATGCAGGGAAGGGGCTGTAATATTAACAATTAACATGGGCAAAGTTTGATAAGATGTAATATTCTTAATTCTTTAACATTAATGATTCTAACTTCCATCATCGATGATGATACCCCATGTGTGATTATACTGATAGGATTGAAGTCATGTCAAAGAACAGCTGAAATTGATCAATCCAAAATTCTATTTAATTGCTTATAATCGAGCCCACCTATTTGTAAATTAAAATCTACAAATTAAAATCTACGTACATGCATCTAATCTTGAAAAGGATCTGCTTACTTACTTCAGTTCCAAAATGTTGTTCTATCAGAAACAATCCAGATTTGCAAGAAATAAAATAATAAAAAACAAAACACAAACATCATGAATAAAAATCCAAACTTTATATTAAAAAACCTTAAAAAGCTAAAGTCTTTTAATCACTAAAGCACGTAAAGATCTAGCCTGTGTGAAATCAAGAGTTGCAGTGAACAGATCTTGAAGTGGTCGTTAATGATTTGTGCTTTGATTTACATAGAGGATTTTGGGTCAAATAAGATTTTGAGGGAGCAGCTGCAAGGAGTCTAGGTTAATTAGGTTTTAGAAATTAGAAAGTGTTTTTTTTTTCATATTTATAGTACCCCTTAAACAGAACCGGTTCGGTTCGGTTGGGGTTTTACCGGTTTCCGATTTCGTAAACCGAAACCGAACCAAACCGAACCGAAAATTTTTATAATTTTTTTTTTTTAAATCAGTTTTTTTTTTCGGTTCGGTTTTTTTGGTTGTTTTTTTCTCGGTTTATTCGGTTTACTCGGTTTCTCGGTTTTTTTGCTCACCCCTAGTACAAAGAAAGAAAAATAGAGGGATCTGAAAATGCCAAGTGAGGGTCGGCAAGAAAAAAAAAAGGGAAAGAAGATGAGAAAATAGGAAAAAATAAAGGAAGAAGAAAAGAGTTAGAGAAAATAAATTTAAAAGGTAAAATTTATGATTTGATATGTATAAATGTGATTTATAAAATATTTTGGATTTGATTGAAGAATTAATTTGAATATTATGGGTGGGTATTGAGCTAATTAGTTAATTTTGAAAGATTTTAGGTAAAAATGATGATTTTAAGTTATGGTTTGTTTAAATGATGAGTTTGAGTTAAAAATCTTGATATATCAGTAGGTGTTCTGTGAAAAAATCTGGATTTCAGGTTGAAGATGATGAAATTTTAGTTTAGTTCCTCAATTTGTGAAAATTACATTTTAGTCCCCAAACATTAAAAAAATTACAGATCGGTCCCTAGAGAATAATTCGAGATTCTGGACAGGATTGAGGATAAATTATGGACAAAATTCCAGTATAGCTATGAATTTATGATATTTTCAGCTTGGTCCTCCAATTTAACAAAATTACACTTTGACCCTAAAAATCTGCTAAAAATTCCAGAATGATCCCTGGAGCATAATTTGAGATTCTGGAAAGAAATGAGGATGAATTATGGGTAAAATTTCAGTATAGTTAGGAATTTATGATATTTTAGTTTGGTCCTCCAATTTGATAAAATTATAAGTTGACCCCTAAAAATATGCTAAAATTACATAATGGTACCTAGAGCATAATTTGAGATTCTGGATAGAACTGAGGATGAATTATGGGAAAAATCCTAGTATGGTTATGAATTTATGAAATTTCTAGTTTGGTCCTCTAATTTGATAAAATTACAATTTGACCCCTAAAAATATAATATAATTTCTAATTGATCCCTAGATGTAATATTAACTTTTTCATATTGGTTTGATGAATAATTTAGGGTTATTCAGTAAATTATTATTAAGTCTTATTATTTGTTTTATTATGAATTAGATTTCGGAAAAATCGTTTAATTTTTTAGTTTTTGGGAAAAATAACTAATTAGCTCAAAAACATATAGGGTTATGGAATAAACCCTTAGGTTATTGTATTAAATAGGTTGTAAGTTCTTTTTTAGTCAATTTTTAATATGTCTTCTTTTGTATTCAAATAATCTTGATGTTCTATCTCGGAGATATTAGTAGGATTTTTTTCGGTATCTGCTTTCAAGTTTAATTTATTTTTGAATCAGGTGAGTGGATAATTTTCAATATGCATGAGAAATATTATAAATATTTGAGTTGTTAATATGAATTGGATCATGCTTCTTGATAATATATATATGTTGATTATTATCCTTGTTACGATAAAACATGATCAAGTGTTGAATCTGAATTCTTAATATGAACCATAATTTATTTTTGAATCAGGTGAGTGGATAATTTTCAATATGCATGAGAAATATTATAAATATTTGAGTTGTTAATATGAATTGGATCATGCTTCTTGATAATATATATATGTTGATTATTATCCTTGTTACGATAAAACATGATCAAGTGTTGAATCTGAATTCTTAATATGAACCAATATATATGTGTGAATTGATTATGAATTGATAGCTCTTCATTTGATTGATGTCATGAGTTGATTCTTGAGAAATGAATCTGTTTGTTGGAATATGATATGAATCTATGGTATATTAGTTAGAATATCCATGCTAACAGGGTAGTGTTAATCTTTGTGCATATCGTATTTGAAACCTTAATTGGTCGGGGAAGTCACTAATATTTGTGGACTGATCATCCCACAGTATAGAGCCTCGTGATCATTGTATTTTAATTTTCTGATAAACTTTACCTTATGATATTCTAGTTATGGCTTTTTTGAGAATCTTTCCTATAAGAACCTAGAGTCATAATTGTATATATGTTCCTCATTGTTGTATTATCTCGTGTATGTATATTGAACCTTATCGACTTACTGAGTTTTTGAAGTTACCCTTTCATTATTTATACTTATAGCTTGTTTGTAGGTAACTTTTGTTTGACTTTCAGAATCTGCTCTTTTGGTTGTTATTTGCATCTTTTTTTATGTCTAATTCATACTCCACAACAAAAAATTTGTATTAAAATAATCAAATTATATTATAAAGTTAATTTATTATTACTGCTGTGTTGAACTCTGATTTAATTATTTAAATGATAAATTCGTATATGAGTTTGGGTTCACATAGATATGAAACCTTAAATGGAAATCTTATTTATGTGTCGGTCATGCATCCAAAAATCAAGTCATGATAATTTTCTTCTTTATATTTTCTCAATCCCTTTCACGTTACATTTTATATGAGAATTGACACAATGTAAAGTGAAAAGATAGAATTAGAATTCTCAACCCTAAAATTACAACCTCAAACTATATAAAAGTAAAGAAAATTTTGATAATCTCAATGGTTTTTTAATTCATATTTTTAATGAAAAAAATAAAACATCAGCTATTGATATATAGGTAAATTCCTACTTAAAAAACAATAAAAACACTAACTAAGAAAAATAATTAAAATCTAAAATTAACTATAAAAATAATTAAATTCACATGTTTTTGAAAAGTCATCAAAACATTTTCAAAAAATCAAAAAAAGAATAAAAGATTGATTTAATTTTTTTATAATTTAGTCTTATTGTAAATGATATCAGATATGATGGAGTGTAATGTGATGGACCAAAATATTTTAATTTCTTTAAAAAAAAAAAACTGGGGACTAAATGGAATTTTGCCAGGACTTCAATTATATTATATAATTTTTATATATATAAATTTAACTGACGAAAGGGAATGGATTTCTACTAATATCATAAATGGAGCATCCTCTAGACATTGTGAGGGTCAGAATGAAACAAACAGCGAGTATATGTTTGAGATTCATTGTATGTGCTATCCCTGCTTCTAAAAATAAATCTTTTTGGAACTTGAAAAATAATATTTAGATTATTGGAAATATTTCACATTGTGATTGTCATTGTCATTAAATTATGCGTAACTTTTTATTTCCTCAACTGCTTGGATAATTTGTGGACAGCTTTTAATTTAACACATCTTAGTTAGATTGGTTCAAATTGAGAAATCTTTGTAAGTAAATGGTTAAATCTGATCAAATTGTTTCATGAAGGCTCTCATCTGTGAATTAATTGAAAAATAATTCTGCTTTATCTGCTATTCCATGCATATCACTTACATTCAAATACATATATAGACATACACAAGAATACATTACACTGATGAAGCCTCTGATTCAAATCAATCAATCCCAACGACAAAAACAAAAATTGGTCGATTTCTATGTCTATGATTCAAATCAATCCATCCCAACACGGTAAACATGTGGTTTACATTCTATCTTTTCGAAAATCAGATTCAAGATTATTGCCAAAAACTGTATAAGGTTCAATCTTATTTATAATTTCACTCAATCAATCAAAAGTGTTGATCATGGCCATCTATAAGCTAACTTTTCTTAACAGGGTTCCACATTATACATGCATTTGGATTGTGACTGCCTTTTGGCACTTATAGATACATTTCAGATAGGGAAGCTGCCTACGTTTGCACTTATACATGCACTTTAGATACATTTCAAATATAGACAGTTTATGTGTGCCTATATATATATATATATGCATACTAGATTGGTACCCGGCTACCCGCGTTGCAACGCGATGCATGTCTGTATTATTTTTTCAATATATATATATGTTTTGTGTGGGTCTAGTGAAAAAAAAAAACTTAGATTATAGTTTAAACCAGCTAAATAAGTAGGGTTATTTGAATCATATGAAAAAAAAAGAAGACAATGATAGCAAATGAGAAAACATACATGTAAAAATACAAATAAATGAGGATCAAAATTGAATAAAAAATGCATTATCAATTTAGATTGAAAAGTAAAATTAAAAAAAATAAAAATTTTACTAAGAGAAACCCTTTAAAAAATTACAAAATATATAATATGATATCAGATAATATATCAAAATCTAGCCAAGAGAAACCCTTTTAAAAAATTGACATAATGGAAGAAATAAAGCCTTCTTCCATTAAAGGCGCACATAATTATAGTTTGGTTATTAAAACTTAATTTTTTTAATAACTATTTTTTGTTATTATAGTTCAGTTCTAAACTCATTTTTTATCATGTTTTAGTTATTAAAAGTTAAGAAAGAAGCAAGAAAGTCATTGAAAAAATTAAAAGAAAAGGTTATTGAGTTGTCGGCTACAAACCACTAACAACTTTAATTTTGGTGTCTATGAATTCTTATTTGACAAAGTAGTTTAATGGAGATGGTTTTAAAATTTGATGGTTTTGGAAAAAGTAAATTAGGATTTGGGATTTTTTAAAAATTTATTGTAATTTTTAGTTTTTAAGTTGATTAAAAAGTATTTTGCTGTAGAAAATAGAGTTTTAAAGGATATGGTAAGACTTGATTTGGAGATAGAAAATTCTACATAACAAAAAGTGGACGAATTTCTCCTCGTAGCAAAATAGATTTACTCCATGTATTTTTAATTCAAACGCTAATTGATAACCTTGCTTATCAAGGCTTTATAATTTCAACAAAAAGAAGGGACTAGTTTAATCAATTGCTAGTGAAAGCGACAACAATTTGTGATGGCAAACGACATTGTCCTTTGCCACATCATCAAATTTTAAAATCATATTTATTAAGCTACTTTATCAAATAAAAATTTATAAACACTAAAATTAAAATTATTGGTGGTTAGAATCCGTCAACTCAATAGCTTATTTTTTTATTTTTTCAATAACTTTCTCTTATCAAGTTTAGAAATACAATGTAATGAACTAAAATAACAAGAACTAGTTATTAAAAAAATTAAACTTTAGGAACCAAAATAACCAAACTATAGTTATGTGTGCCTTTAATGGAAGAAGGCTCTATTTCTTCCATTATGTCAATTTTCGTATCTCAATTTTTTTTAACAATGAACTAAAATTCTATCTCATAAAATTATTTGTTAATTTAATGTCAAAATATTTTAAGAATATAAGCTAACCAAGAGAAAACAAATAAAAAAGGAGTAAATTATAAAACCATAAATGATAGAACTTGAAAGGACTAATTGAAAAGGAAAAAAAGCTCAGCAACCAAATTATAAAACAATAAAAATTTCAAGGACTTACTAAAAGGAAAATTTTGATTATAAACACTTGGTGAAATAAGCTTTTGTGAGAGGAATATGAACATTGGAATGTATAGTTAACACCCACCCTTTTTAGTTGTTTTATATAATTGAATATATAGTAAAGAGATAAACCTTTCATACACTGTTAATTCATTGAAAAAATCACTTTAGTAAAATTTAGAAAGAGAAAGTTTTATAGTATTTCAGACCACGCTGTATATAATCATGACCATCTATCAGAGAAAAGTGTATAAAATTTGAAAATGTACTAGGGCAATCACTGTCTAATGTTGATGAAAAGAGTTAAAAGTATTTGAAAACACGGAGCCATGTTTTCCAAAATTTGAAAAAACAAATTTTATTTAAAATTAATTTTTTTATATATTTAAAATTTATTTTAATGTACTAATATTAAAAATTATATTTTTAAAAATAAAAAAATTATTTTAATATATTTTTAAATAAAAAAATAGTCCTCCCTTAAATAAACAGTTTACATTTAAGTACTTCAATAACTATTTTTCTAAAAAATAAAAAATAGCCTTGCATGAAATCTTCAAGCTTTGACTTAGAGGAGCTAAATTCCCGAAATAAAAATTTGGATATCGGTTTAGATGCTTCGGAACATAATTTGGACTCGTTTCTTCATGAAACTTGTTTGTTGGCAAAATTTAGTTGGCAAATTTAAAAAATCATATCTCCTTCGTATGATATCGTTTTTTGCTGAAATTTGGATAATTGATAGGCCATTGAGTAAGGAATCCAAAACAATTGAGTTTGCATCATTTGGACTTTTGTAACTCCAGATGTTCAAGTCAGAATGGTTGAAGGTCAACACTGGCAGATTGATAGATTTGACTTTGAAGGCTATGATTTCCATGTTCTTCCTTATTTTATTTTCTTGCTTTAGATGTATAGAAAGCTATGGATGTTAGATTTTTAATGCCACTAGAATCACTTCATTTTGACCTATAGAGCTCATGCTTTACACAAATCTGCCAATTACCTTCAATTTACTCCTTCTTGCATCTTTCATCCAAAAGTGCCTTCAAAACATAAAACAAAGAACATCAAGATATTATATATATAAAACATAGGTAAAACACAAGTTAAATGTGGGTGAAACTATCAAATAATATGGTTGTATCAAGGACAAACAAGCAGTATTTAGATAAGCTAGGGAGCAATAAAAGATGATTAAATGATGAATCAGTGAACTGACGACAATGTGGTTCAAAGAAAGATAATCAATGAACGAGCACATTCAGATCATCCTGGGGGGCAATATTGTTCAAAGAACATCATGATCCAAGTGAACTCTATAAGCAATTGAGAATAAAGATGTGCCTGGAGGACATCTTTCTAGTGTTATCTTGGGTTTATCCTTTGAAGCATGAATACTGACCAATGTGAACACAATTGAATGTAAATGAATGTTGAAAAGATGCAAATCACTAAGACTGGCTATGGAACAAAGATGCACCTGCAGGACATCTTCACATCATCACTCTTTGAAGCATGGCTATCGATTAATATTATCATGACTGCATTTGAATGAATATTGAAGAGATGCACAACATTGAGACTAATTGTAGAACAATGTTGCATAGAAAGGACATCTTCTTATCATCTTCTGGCTAAAGATGCGCTTCACCTCCTGAGTATAGGTGATAAAAGCAACACCATTGTTGAGGCTGAGATATCTCTTTTCATAATCTAATTAGATGAGCTGAGGGGAATTTGTTGAAAAGACCATTGAGCATATAATAATGAGCCTTTTACTGCAAGTTGTGAGATGCATATCTAGACGACTAGATAGTTTTCAAGAAGATTGATGAGAACATATACTTGAAGAGTATTGTTTCAACTAAGGGCAAGTCCATAACTGATTGACAAACTAGGATGGGATTGACAATAGAAAATCTCTTGATGAGTGTTATTACGATGCACACAATCAATGAGAGAATAATTTCTCAGAAGAATCCAGAATATGAATGACTGTTTAAGCTCATTCATGATGAATCAAGTAACACCACACTTAGGGGGCATGGTCATGCTTGGTAAGCAACGATAGTAGAAATCATCATAGACATCCTATAATAAATTGCATTTACAATTGAATGGATGGCTGGCACACGAATGAGCCAGCACATAAAAACAAGGAAGGCTTCGAATAGCAAACAAATGAGTGTTAAATGGGGGACCTATATTTCTCAGGTAAGTATACATGCATATCAATCATAATGCATTGCTTCCATAATTGATAGATTGATGTTGCACCATCACTTCTTGGGTAGTGTGTTTTATAACCCTACCTTCTTTTGAGTGTGCCTTTGTGCCCTTTCCTTCTTTTCGAGGGTGCCATTGAGCGCTCACTTCCTTTTGAGTGCATCTTTGAGCCCTTACTCTTTTTTTAGTGTGTCTTTGAGCCCTCACTTGGGTAGTGCATTTCCTAACTCTACCTCCTTTTCTAGTACGCCCTTGAGCCTTCG